ATATAATAGGTACTTTGTGAATTGAATAGGAAGTGTTCAATAAAAATGCGTGTCGTTTTATGATTGGTAGATTTAATTAAAAAACCATGTTTATGTTTGAATAACAAATCGGTCTTATAAATTTGCGGCCGAAAAATATTTGCGCCTCGGCTGAGACGTACAAAATGCTTTATTATTAAAATTTTAAATATAAAAAATCCGCATTATAATATAAAGCTTAATTAAAAATTGTTTTGGGAAACATGGACAAGTTGGAGTAAAGGAATATCTTTTACTTAGTTATAGATACCTGCAGCTACTTTAGAATTTATACGTTTGGTTTTAAGGACGCGTTTGCAAATCAACCAAAATTAGGGTGTTTTTCGGTAGATTTTGTGACAAAACTAAACCAAATCAAATATAAGTAAAAACTACCATGTATAGATTAGTTCTTCATCTGCAAACGTCTGTAACTCTTTTTGTTGAAAATAGTAGTTTTTTATATTGTAAAAACGAACTTTCGTTGCCAATTTCTACAAAATTAACGATACCGGCACGTGTTTCGGTACATGTTTTGGTCTATTATCAACATATTTAAAAAATACTATAAGATGACAGAGATATTCAATTAAAAAACACTGGTTTTTTTTTTAACAAAATGTCAAAAATAGTCGTAAAAAAAATAAAAACTGATGCACATTTTTTCACATATTTTGGTAATACGGATGAATCATAATCTATTGCAATAGGGGCTATTTTATTGTTGGTGCCTGCTTTGATTTATTGTACAAAGATTTCGATGAAACCACAGTCTGCGCTCGGCCGCCGTCGTGAGTGGACGCTGTATCGCCTGTTTGCAGCAGCTCATTATGAAAAGATCGCTGTACATACACAAAATATTAGAAAAAAACAAATTGGAAACATAAATACTTGACAAGTGATAAAATTATTATTTTTATACTCACAGTTTTTTATTTAGCTAAAAATAAGTAGGATATATAAACTTACCTACTACTGCAACTCCTGGACGAGCGGAACTAGGTGTGCCGAGTTTGGGCTCGTTTTGTTGGTTATGATGAGACCTTACCTCCGGACTTGATGGCGTGACCTGAAGGTGTACTTTCGTGACCGCTATTTGAACTTCTTGCAGAGTAAAACTAGGGGTGGCGAATTTGGGCTCCGTTTTGTTAGTTATGACGAGTCCATACCTCCGGACTTGATGGAGTGACCTGAAGGTGTAAGTCGGTGATTGCAACTGGAACTCCTAGACTGGTAGAACTAGGTGTGCCGAGTTCGGGTTCGTTTTGTAGGTTATAATGAGACCTTACCACCGGACTTGATGGAGTGACCTGAAAGTGTAGTTCGGTGATTACAAGTGCAACTCCTAGACTTGTAGTTGTAGTTGTTGTACAAAACGGACCCAGACTCGGCACACCTAGTTCTACCAGTCTAGGAGTTCCAGTTGCAATTATCGATTTACACCTTTAGGTCACTCCATCAAGTCCGGAGGTATGGACTCGTCATAACTAACAAAACGGAGCCCAAATTCGGCACACCTAGTTCTACTCGTTCAGAAATTCCAGCAGTAGTTACTGAATTACCCCTTCAGGTCACTCCATCAAGTCTGGTGGTAAGGTCTCATCATAACTAACAAAACGAACCCAAACTCGGCACACCTAGTTCTACTTGTCTAGGAGTTCCACTTGTAATCACCGAATTACCCCTTCAGGTCACTCCATCAAGTCTGGTGGTAAGGTCTCATCATAACTAACAAAACGAACCCAAACTCGGCACACCTAGTTCTACTAGTCTAGGAGTTCCACTTGTAATCACCGAATTACACCTTCAGGTCACTCCATCAAGTCCGGTGGTAAGGTCTCATCATAACCAACAAAACGAACCCAAACTCGGCACACCCAGTTCCACTAGTCTAGGAGTTCCTGTTGTAATCACCAAATTACACCTTCAGGTCACTCCATCAAGTCCGCAGGTAGGTAAGGTCTTATTATAACTGACAAAACCAGTTCAAAGTCCAGAGCTAACATCTCACTACCAGTAGAGGGCTTCCAGTGCCAAGCAGTCTTTGGAGCAGGTATTCATATTTCGTATCGAAGTATATTTCTGTGGTAGGTATAAGAAATGAAAACAAATTCAATCTTTCAAATTATCAAAATAATTTCATTTGACTACGATTCCCACAGCCAACCGTGCGTACACTAGTGTGTGTGTGACTTTTGTCAATGTAGTAGTGCGATTCTATACCTATCCATTTTGTAAACGCGTCCTTAAATGAAGTTTGGATTTATTATTTTTTTATTTTTATTCTATTTTCTGAAAGGGTCCTAGGAAAGGAATTATCACTGCGTGTTGGCGAACTTTGCATGTCTTCGAAATATTTTTTTTCTTATTTCTCAGACATGCAGGTTTCCTGACAATGTTTTCCTTCACCACTGAGCACGTGGTAAATCAACACTTAAAATTGCAATTACAATATTATTGGTGCCGGCGGGGATCGAACCCGGTTTGCTCGCACACTGTGAAAATTTTAGCAAGCGCTAACCATCTGAGCTACCACGTCTCCTCTCCTCTCGAGCTAGAGACTTTATTTTATTTATCGTCAGGCCTGTTGGTCTAGTGGTTAGTGACACTGACTGCTATGCTGCAGGTCGTGGGTTCGATTCCCACCCAGGACAAATGTTTGTGTGATGAGCACGATCATTTGTTCTGTGTCTGGGTGTAATTTATCTATAATATTTATGTATTTAGAAATATATAAGTATGTTTATCAGTTGTCTAGTACCCATAACACAAGCTCTGCTTAGCTTGGGACTAGATGGCGTTGTGTGATAGTTGTGGAATATTATTATTATTATATTATTATTATTGGGGTATCTGTATAGTTTCTCATCTGGTTGGTGTTTATAAATATAAATTAAAATGAAAAGATAAATATACATAAATATCAATAAAATAAAATAAATACAAAAAATATACAAATAAATAAAGATCCAACCATATTAAATAAAAAATAGTCTCCTATCTTTCTCTCTTTGTTTTGATCTCCTAAAACGAGTTTGAGTTGGTAAAATCAAGGCAAACTTAGGGTAAGGTTGTCAATTATTATTTTGATAATAAAACTAGTGAAATTCCGCGGTTTTATATGCGCAAGCGTGAACGTAGTTAGAACATAATATAACCTTTATGTTTTACATAAATATCCTAAAAAACTTATTATTTTAATATTTTACTAAGTACCTATAAAATTAACAAGTTTATTGCATTTTTATTTGAGTAATTTTTTATGCAATTTCTTTATCTACGTCTATTTTTAGGAACCTTTATTTAGTCTGAATCATACATAACACTATATTACTGATTTACTTACTTATACGTAGTTTTCTTTTTTGCAGTTACAAATATCTTGTGAGGTTGAAAAAGGCAGTAATGAAAAAAATAATAAGAATAATAATAATTGACGTCAGCCACTTCTTTTCATAAAAATTTCAGATCATGGTCCATTAGGTTGCAGCTTCAGCGAACCACAACTTATAATAATAATAATAACAGTAATAATATAATATTATTTTGTATTTATTTTATTTTATTGATATTTATGTATATTTATCTTTTCATTTTAATTTATAATTTTTATATACTTAAATATTTATATAACCGAACCAGATGAAAAAATTATACGGCACCAACGATTTTAGCGATGAACGCTTGGATTTATTTTTAGAAAATGTCCTTTTGTCCATGTTTTCAGGCAATAAAAAAACTGCTACAATATAAGAAGGTAAATTTCGACAAATCACTAACGGTCGTTATAGTTCAGGTGGTATGTCGGTCGGACGTGATATCGGAGTTCCGTGGTTCGCGTCTTGGCTTTGGTTCCGCTTTTTTTCCTTTTTTTTTTTCAAGTTCTCTTCTTTTGTGATGAAATCTATTATTTCAAACCCTTTTTTTTAGTAATTTTTAAAAATACGAAAATTTTAATTTTAAAAATTTAAAAAAACATATCTATTTATTTACTAACGCTATATTTATTATTTTATTAATTACCTACCCAGTAGGTAAATATTAAAATAATAAATGTAGCATTATAAACAGTAAATCTCCCTCAAACTCAATTTACTAATATTGTTCCTAAATAAGGAATAGCAGATAAAAGATTAGTAGGTAATAACTATTGCTCCTCAAAATTATATTTGACCTCAAGGTAAAACATATCCTAAAATTCAGAAGCTAAATAAAATAATAATACCTACTATTCAAGTATATTTTCAATATGTAAGTAAATGAAAATAACAAAAATGAAGCACCATTAGCATGTAAAGTTCGAATCCATAATTAATATTTCGACAAATATTATAATTTACACTATAAAAAGCTAATTCAATATTAGCAGTATAGTATATAGTTAAAAATAATCAAAATAGTCTTTTTTATTAATTAGATAATATATTAGAATACATAATTCTAATATAATGCAACTAATATATCGAATAAAGAAAATTAAAATACATTTATCATTGTACGCCGTGTCTATTTCCGTAGAATAGTTCATTGACATCGAAAAAATAATACTACGTTCGTAGCAGTAGGTGGCGTCTTTTGGCGATTTCTTACGCGATATATTGTAGCGAGCTTCGACAGACCAAACGCTCAAGGTCGTTCGCTGGAGGTAGCGCCTGAGTGTGAGTGTTGCGTATTCAGAAAATTACATAATATATGTATTAAATACAGGTAATAGAATTAGTAGGTATCTTTCTATAGGAAGGTATTTCATTTTCAAGTAATTCATCTGTTTAAACTCATCTTAATTTTCTCCGAGCAAAGGAAGATCATCTGAAAAGTTTTAATATGTGTTTCCCGTAACTGAACTGCCTATTATCGCCAATTCACTTACGACATATTTTAAATTAAACAACAATATTTACTGTTTGAATATGAAAATGGTTGCCATACGTATTCAAGTTATTAAGTCATAAATTTATTGAATGATCGTGTAACTAACTTACCCACGTATAACTTCGGACGAAGCCATAATTTCACGGCTCCCTTGTTTTTATAACTAATTTCTGCTATATCTTCAAGATTCTTAACAACTTCTGCAAATTAGATAGAATTTGTAAGTCATTTGCCCTTTGGTATTTGTAAGAGTCGATGTTAGAAAGGTATTATCTATATCACAATTGAAATTTCAGGAGAAGGCACGCCGCCTTTTTGACGTCTCTTCCCAGGACAGAGTTTTTTTTCGAACCAGTGGCATTTAAACAAAGGAGTGAATTAAAATCAGTATTATTTATAATATAAGTATATTGAATAAAAAAGATTCGGTTCGCGTTTCCTTTGCTATACTTGTAATGTCGCGCGCGTATTCCAGTTTATCACTTATCACCCATGAAACGCATTTTAATATTTTGTATATTATTTATTAGTTTGCAACCTATCTTATTGTAATAATATTGTTAACACTAAAATATTCATATATGCAGGTGGCTCAGCACCGTACCATGTGGCTTTTGAAGGTCTATAATAATAATAATGAACATTAAAAGCTAATTTGACACTTACTTTCACAGTCTCCCAAAAATATCATAGCATTTCCTAATACAGGCAAGCAAGGTGGAACGGGCAGTGATGCGGTGGCGCGATCCAAACGCTTCTCATAAACTTTCCAATGTTCCAAATAGATGCAGAGGATCATCACCAGAACAATGAAAATTATCATGACTCTGGTTTAATATAGTAAGAACCTGTAGGTATAAAAATGAAACAAATTGAAGAAAACTACAAGCTGACTAGAAAATCAATAAGCTGGAGTGGCAATGGGACGGCCATATAGTTTGAAGAACCGATAACCCATGGAGAAGAAACATTCTACATTGGCAGCCTTGAACAGGTGAGCGGAGTGTGTGCCGGCCTTCCACTAGTTAGAGTGACGACCTGGTGAGAGATGCAGAAGTCGATGGACTGTACTTTGTGCTCTTCCTTGGGGGATATTATGTTCAGTAGTAAGTTTGTTGACTGTAATAATGGTGACGCCTGTTTCGCGCTGGAGTAGGCGGATGTCATGGATTTTCACTTTATAAAATTGTGGCAATTTTGCGGTGTTATTTACATGCATTAAGTAATTTATAAATACATTCTCGTCTAATACAGTATATTAAACTTAACCTGGATAATATTAGTAATTAAATTTAAATAAATCCCCGAAACAAATAGAGCCGATGATCTTCAAACGGTTGACAAGATGTTCTTGAACCACAGCTAAGAATACTCTATTAAGTCACCTTTCAAACAAAAATAAACTTAATCTAAATCGGTTCATCTTTTTGGGAGCTATGATGCCGAAGACAGACACACGACAAACGAGCACACAGTCTACCTGATGGTGTGGTGGATGCTGTGACTCATAGACATCTTCAATTATCCTCTATTAAAAATTAAAAATACAGATGCGTTGTCACCCCTGAAAATTAAGATGGAATGCCTCGTCACCAGTATAAAGTCTCCAGTTCTTCAGACTCACCAAACGAAACACAGCAGCCTTAAGCTGCTATTTTACGCTGGTATTCTATGAGAGAGTGGTCCTACCCCGGCCGAGCCGACCCATTCGTGCTACAACTTATATGGCTGCAACGTGGCTCTACCACGTAAAATATGTATGTAGATAATTCATCTATCAAAGGAGTGAAAAATAAGATTACCAACGAACATTGCTGGAACGAAAAGGTAAGTCGGATTGAAAACAAACTTAATTTTGCAGTCGAAAAATGTTCTTCCATACATCGGTAATCGGTACCACTGTCGATGCTATGTTATAACTGCAAAATGTAAGTTTGTGATCGTCAAAAATATTTTTTATGCAATTTAAATACAAATTAACGATTTTCAGAATTCTTTTTACTTGTGCTGTGTAAAATCTTGCTTCTCGCCAAGTTTCATGATTCTAGGTTAACGAAAAGTACTGTATTACTAGGTCACGATCATGAATTATAACCTGTGGCTAATGGACTTCCAAAGAACCCAGTTGGAGAAAGGAAAATAATGATAATTTTAAATAAGTATAATTTAATAATAAGAATATAACATTTGGTAGCTTTTTTGATTGTGCGTAAAATGCAATATTTTTTAATTGTTATTACACTTGTAGAAGTTGAATCGTTTCTGATAGTATTTAACATTCTATGTATAAAATAAAGTTAACATCGCAATTACGTTTATTTTATTTTATTTTAATATATTATTTTTCATAATTTTTCTATCTGTTATCATTTTAGAACATTTTAAATAAATTAATAATAATGAAATGTTTTTAAGCATAATTATGGAATTATATGATTTTATCTGCTCCAAATATAAGCAAATAAAAGAAAAAAAAATACACAAGAAGGCAAAAAAATAACACAAAATAGGAAATAATCCGGCGATATATAATATAATATTTATTACGAATACTCACATTTTATTTTGTCAAATATGCTTGTCCAAAAATTTTAATATATTGTGTAAATAGTTTTTTTATTAAATTATGGATACGGCAAATACGGTTGCCGGCAAAAGCTCGCTGATTCAGACTCAGGTCGCCATATAGAGAGGAGACATATTTACGCTACCAGGTTTTAAAACCAGGTTTTTCACTTCAAAGTACTACTTCACTTCGAAGGCCGAATGCTTGAACCAAAATCTGTGTTGCACCAGCTATCCGATCGGATCGGGTCAATCAATTAAGCTAACTTAAACGAATCAAATTAAAGAGAATAATTGCGTAAACATGCAATTCACATATTTGTATTCAAAAGAAACATGATTGCATGTATATTACTTATTTGTAAGTAATAACAATTATGTTGATATTCCAGTAAGTAAAAGTTCTGTTTCGATTTTTTATAAATTCGGTTCAGTTGTTATTGTGAACTGATTACATAACCTACTAACCGTGACCTAATTTTTAAATAGTTGTTTCTCGTGTTTGTTGAATTTAGAGCCAATTTTTAAACTTTTATTAATAAGTTTTTAAGTATGTATATAAATAAAACTGAACTTTACTGTGTTTATTAGTTAGAAATGACGATTTTATTGAATTGTAAATAATAGTGTGATTAATAGTATTTTATGTGTAACGATCATAGGTTCTTTTTGTTAATAGTAAATAGATTTACGTACATACAAATCCATAAGTATAGCTCCCAAGAAAAGTTTGGTGCGGGATCATTTTGTGGACAAAGGAAAAAATTGCAAGATGCGCAACGTAATTATGTCGTACAAACCTGGAGTAGCAAACCTTACCAAACATGTACAGAGAAAATATATTTCTGTTAATTTAGTGAGAAGAGAGTGTAGTGGAGCGTGCGTCAAGAAGTACTGGCACATGCTTCACAAAGTACACAATTTACGACATCCAATACTCCACTGACGCACCACCTAGTACAATAAGGTACAATATAGCCACCATGCCCACTATCTCAGTATTCCTCCGACATAATTGTCAAAAAATAAAAAAGCAAATTGATGATCATCTTATGAATTTGTTTATAAATGAGATTTGCAGTATTTTCTATAACAGAAGACAAGAGATTTCGCGAATTGATAAAGTTTGCTTTCCCAAATTATGTGACACCATCGTGAAAATATTTCGCCAATAATTTATTGCCGTGTTAGTATGAACAGGTAAAAACTAATACTAAAGCAGCTCTAAGTGAGATGCAAAAAGTATGAAGTAAGATGTATAAAGTAAATATCGTTCAATAGTGGAATATTCTTGACAAAGTCCTCCTTGTAGTGCCAGATAACGGTGCCAACATCAAAAGTGCCAAAGCTCAATTAAAGTGCTGTTAAAATGTTGTCGTGCTGCAAGTGGCTGTTATGCGCATACGCTTAACCTGGCAGTACACAAAGTATTAGGAAGTTCTTACATAAGCGACTTAATTAATAAAGTGAAGGCTATAGTTACCTACTTTAAACGAAGTTATTTAGCATGGAATAAATTGAAAAAATACTAAGAACAGGCCAATAAAGTTGTAGAGACTCTAATCCAAGAAGTTGTTACAGGGTGGAACTCCACATTCTACATCTTACACAGACCAGTTGTGAATGGGATATATGCCAGTCGTGTATCATTGTGTTATAACCGTGTGACGAAGTAACGAGAGAAATAAGTGGTCAAAGTCATATAAGTGGAAACTCAGTCATTCCATTAACAGTTACACATGTCGGATATTTTAGCAAGAAAATAACATCGACGTTTTCTCTGATAAGTTGAAATGTGCCGACAGGATCTCCTCTCAGAAATAAGCACGCGATTTTTAGACCCGATATATATGCTATATTTAGACCCGAGGTATAAGTTATACTTTGAGAGTGAAAACGTTGCGGACAAAATGAAAAAGCATATCATGAGCCTAGTAATCGCGATGATTAACGACAATTAAAGATGTCAGTCTTTAGTATCAACTTCTGATGAGTCAGATAATCAAGGGAAAAATCTAACAGTGTATTATGGAAGCACTACAACAGACAAACAAAATGTATGACCAGCTGGAACCGCCCATAGCAGGGCAATCATTGAAACCCAAAAGTATCTAGATGACGCAGTTTTGTCTCCGGATATGGATCCTTTGGAGTGGTGGCGAATAATTAAAACATTTATCCAAATAAAGATATTAAAATTTAATTCGCAACCATCCGCTTAAATAAATACAATGACGTGTCTTACCTGGATTGAAAAGCACCTCCCGCCCTCAGGCGAAACACGTATCGTATTATCGTCGATGGTGTATCTTTTCTGGAATAGTGGTGTTGGGAATAGTGGTACCGGGAGGAGTGGTATTGGGAGTAGTGGTGCTGGGACTAGTGGTGACGGGGTTAGTGCACGCAATTGAGGGAGGGCGGGAGGTGCTCTTCAATCCAGGTAAGACACGTCATTGTATTTATTTAAGCGGATGGTTGCGAATTAAATTTTAATATCTTTGTTATAATGAATTTGCGCAAATTAACACCTGATTCTATCAATTAATTTATCCAAATTTAGCTAAACTGGGCAAAATAAAATTAAACGCAATGGCCTCTAGCGTGCCTTGCGAACGGTTTCTGTAGCGGGAAATATATTAATGGAGAACAAGGCCCATCTGGGGAGTCGTAAAGTATAACAGTTATTGTTTCTACAACAAAATAAAAATTAAATCAAAATATTAAGAAAAACATCAAAAAATAACATAAAAATATACAAAAAAAAACTAAAATAATAAAGGTACAATATCACGTATGTGTATAAAATGAAATATTTTAACTACACCATCTAATACAAGTTTCTATTCCAGCTCATGACAAAATACCGTAAAAACACTACTGGCAACCCTGTCGTCTGTATTAATATAATACCCAGAATATACAACACGATCATATCTATTGTTTTAGCTTAATTGACAATTCAACACGTTAATGACGAGAAGCTTCGATTAATTTAATCTGCGGTTAGGTCTATTGTGTCTTGATATAAAATTATTTGAATGGCTTCTGTTATAGGCAAATTCTATAGGTGGGTAAAGCCACGTTACAGCTATATTATGGCTGTGGCACAAACAGGTCGGTCGTAGAGCCCCATTAACCGCATTTACTAGGCTAGAGATAATAAATTCAATATCTGCGTTTCAATATGTCAATTTATTAATATAAGGTAATTATATACTAATGTCAAAAACTCAATCGCATATGAGTCGTTGAGCGCAT